TGTGAATGTAAATATTCAGCTGTTGAAAAGCTGTGTCTTGCTTTGTATTTTGCTGCAATAAAATTAAGATATTATCTTTTGCCTACAACTGTCTTGGTAATTGCAACCACGGATTTGGTTAAATATATGTTATCTAGACCAATGTTGAGGGGAAGAATTGGCAAATGGATGCTTGCCTTATCAGAATTTCATCTAGAATATGTCCCTCAAAGGGCAGTAAAAGGGCAGGTTTTAGCCAATTTCTTGGCAGATCATCCATCTCAAACAGAGAGTCAGGAGATAATGGAACTTGGTATGGCCAGTGTTGAGCCATGGCAAATGTGGTTCGATGGGTCGAAAGCAAATGGGTTAATTGGAATTGGTATTGTAATCAAGTCTCCACAGGGGACAGAAACTACCCATGGTTTTAGAGTGGATGAAGCTACCTGTTCCAATAACCAGGCTGAATATGAAGCCTTAATTGTGGGATTAGAGATTCTTATTGGATTATAAGTACATGCAGTTGACATATTTGGAGATTCTCAATTGGTGGTTAACCAAGTGAAAGGAATTTTCAAGTGTCAAAGCATAAGTATCTTGCCATATTATGTTGTTGCATTACATTTGCTTTCTCAGTTTCAAATAGCAAATGTAACCCATGTTCCAAGATTCTTGAACAATAGAGCCAATGATGTGGCTCAAAAGGCTTCGAATTTCAAGAGAAGGGATAATACCCAAAGGGACATGAGCCAAACAACATATCAGAGATTAATTCAACCTTTGAATAAAAGGAATGTGATCTTGGAAGTCAATCATAATGACTTACAAGAACAAGATTGGAGGCATCCAATAATGCAGTACTTGGCTGGTCCATCTTCGAAGGCCAGTAGAAAAGTTAAGTTGCAGTCTATGCAATATATGATATATGGTAATGCTCTCTACAAAAGGGGGGGAGATGGCTTATTGTTGGAATGTCTAGGCCCGAAAGAAGCATTAACAGCCATGGCTGAGGTTCATGAAGGCATCTGTGGTGCTCATCAACCTGGTGTAAAAATGAGATGGTTGCTTCGAAGGCATTCCTATTATTGGCCAACCATCCTTAAAGACTGCATAGAATATGCAAAGGGGTGTCAGGCATGTCAAAAGCATGGCACAATAAGGCACGTGCCCATAACTGACCTACATGCAGTAGTGAAGCCTTGGCCATTCAGAGGGTGGGCCATGGATATGATGGGAAAAATACACCCACCTTCTTCGAAGCATCATTGTTTCATTCTAGTGGCTACTGACTACTTCACTAAATGGGTCGAAGCTAAGCCATACAAGGCTGTAGACCAAACAGAGGTTATTGGTTTTATTAAAGATTTGATCCATAGATTTGGCATCCCGCAAACCATAACAGTTGATAATGGAACTGTGTTTGATGGGAAGATGGTGAAGGCTTTTGCGGCAGAATTTGGAATTAGCCTTGTTAATTCCACACCCTATTATGCACAAGCTAATGGTCAAGCTGAGTCATCCAATAAGTCCTTGAAAAAAGGAATACAAAAGGTTGTGGATGACAATCCCAGGGATTGGCATAACCTATTGTTGGATGTTCTGTGGGCATATAGGACCTCACCGAGGTCAAGCACAGGAGTCACTCCCTATGCTTTGGTGTATGGACATGATGCAGTCTTACCAGTAGAGATTAATGTTAAATCTTTGAGAGTAAGATGTCAAGATCAATTGAATCTTGAACAATACCATCAAAGTATGTGCTTAGAATTAGAAGGCATAGATGAAGCCAGAATTTTGGCATTAAATAGCATTCTTTTCCAAAAGAAGAAAGCAGCCAAGAATTATAATAAGAAAGTCAAACACATTGGCTTTGATGAAGGTGATTTGGTATGGAAGACAATACTCCCAATTGGGATTAAAAGCCATAAGTTTGGCAAATGGTCACCTAACTGGGAAGGACCATATCAAATTCATAGGGTTCTGCCTTTTGGAGCATACCATTTAAGAAATTTGAATGGTTATGTACATCCCAAAAAGATTAATGGCAGATATTTAAAACCTTATTTTCCAACCGTTTGGGAGACACAAGGGATAGAGTAAACACCATATGCAAAAACACAAGCTTGTTCAAATGATATTCAAAATATTGTGCTTTCATAAAGAATCAAGTACATTATGCCACAAGTTGGCCCAAAAATCATTACAATGCTTTAATTGTTTTTGTACAATAGCTTTCCTATTGCTAAGGGAAGGAAATAATTGAATAGCTGCAGCCATGTTTTCTTTTCGATCAGCCAGTCCTTGATTGGTGATGTGCAGTTTCTTATCAGTTCGAACCAAGGCTTGGTTTACTGCGGCTAACTCCTCTTCAAGCTGAGCTTTCTTCTCTAGAAGTTGGACTCGAAAGTGGGAGGCAGAAGAGTGTTGTTCTTTCAGAGATGATACTTCGGTATGCACTTGAGAAACAAAGCTCTGGTCCTTAGCCAGCTTCTCATCCGCAGTCTTAGCAGCATGGCAAATGTTGAGATAGAAATCAATAGTAGCTGCAGCCTGAGATAGATGACTTGAGACACTCATGGCAGACTGCTCAGCATTGTTACAGCATTGAAGGAACCCATTCCTGATGATAGGCCTTTGTAGAGCCTCGAAGGGGATCCTTGAAAAGGAAGTCAACAGTTGCAAGCATGTGTCCAAATCTACTAAAGGTACAAAAGGCTTGTTGCTGGAGGAAGGAGAACTCTCGAAGATTTCCAAAAGGGAGTTAGCCAAGGCTAATGGCTCAGCTTCAGTAGTAGAAGTAGGAGAGGTAGAAGGAATGTCAAAAAGACTAGCTAGTCTTTCTTCAAAAATGTCTACCTCATCCCTTGACATGAAGGGCATAGAGAGTGTTGTGGTGGAAGACACAAAGGGCTGCATAGGGATGGGAGAAACAGATGGAGCATCTTTGGCAGCCTCTATGGTCTTGGCCACCAGCAAATCAAGTGAGGAAGGGCTGGAAGTAGGCATTGGTGATGAGCCATGAGTTGAAGAATTATCAGCACCCTCTGAAGGAGAATCAACTGCCATGTGAGATGAAGTAGCAGTAGGAGGAAGAGCGAGGATCGAAGAAGCAAACTGAGGCAGATCAAGAGTCAAGAAAGGGAGGTATGGCTCTAAGCCAAGGAAAAGAGATGCAGGGATACTTGGACTCGGAAAAGATGTATTGAATATAGGCTTAGGAAGTGGGAGCATGATTTGAATGGTTTTCACGCGTTGCATCTGGTCAACTTCAACTGAAATTGGGGAAGGTCTCGCTGGAAAGATGAATGCAGTGGTCGTTGCTGCAAAAAGAAGAAAATGTGAGGTAATGTCAAGTCTCAGTCTTGAAGATTCGACAAGAAAAGAATAAAGGCATGAAGAAAATTACTTGTTCCAGTGTATAGTTCAATAGTCTGTTGTTCTATTGCCATTTCCTTTGGTAATGCATCAACGGCAACGACCTTCTCTCTTAGGAATTGTTGCTGCTGCCTCCCCTCAGCCCTTTCAAGGACAACTATGGCTTTGGAATATTCTTGTTCTACAGCCTTATGGTTGGGGTCTTCAAACGAGCCGGTAGCTAAAGCGGTAACCTTCCTCCTCTTTTCTATTACTTGGGCAATTGTCTCGGAATCAGAATCTTCAGTAAAATCGGAAGGAGAAACAGTAATTTTTCTTCTCCTTTTCCTTTGAATTGGTATCATTCGCTCCTCCATTGTCTTCTCGACCTCTTTAGGTTGGGGTCCAGACTCTTCAAAAATGAGCTCCTCCTCTACCTTCTTAGCGGCCGTCTCCTCTTGAGCCAATTGAGGTACTCTTTTGCTTCTTTTCAAGGGAGACTCCTGTTCTTGATCTTCTTCTTCTTCTTCTGTCTCTGGAAGCTCAGTTTTTTCCTTTTCTAGCTCAAGGAGTCTCTTCTTCTTTTGTTGTTGACCACCTTTATAGAAGAAGGATTAGAGATAAGATAGCAAGCATTATGTGGGGAGGTTAGAGAAAAGGAAAAAGGGGTACATACTTCGGGTGACTCTGGGAGAAATTGAAGCAGCAGAAGTAAACTGCGTTGTAGCAGGTATTGTAATTGAAACAGTGGAAGAAATGACAGTCTCAGCTCCCTTGGGCTTGGGCACATCCAGCACTTCCAATAGGTTCTGAGGGGGGATAGCCAAATAAACCTCCATGTTGCTCACCCACCAATTTTGGTATCTCTTCAATTCAGTACCTTGAGGAGAGAAAGGGGTGAACTCAAAACTGGCCAAATCATCCATAAACTTGAAGGTTGCCTCTTCTAATCTTGATTTTCGAACCTTCAAATCCCTCTTAGTAAGGCTCAGATTGGTGTTGCTACAGAGAGGGATTGGGACCCCTTGTGTGAGACCAAATTGTCTAGCAAATTTGGCAGGACAATAGGGCTCAGCTATACATTTATAAGCTCTAGGATTGGTGGTCCCGATGAATATCTCTCGAGGAATTAGAAGAGAAGCCCATATCTCCTTATGAACAGGTAAGGTGCAGAGCTTGTCACTTAGGAAATTATTCAACCAAGTTGGGCCAATATTGGATTCGAAGGGACGGAAGTAATGAAGAGGAGGGGTGGCTGGTAGCTGATGAAAGAAAGAAAAATAAAAGGAAAAAGTAGAGGGATAGAGTGAAGCATTGGCCAATCTTATGCCATGGGTAAGAGAAAACGGCCCAGAAAATTTGAGGCATTTGGATTGCAAGTCGGTGAAGTAGGCGAAAAGCCAAAGCTGAAGGATCCAGAATGGCCCCCCTTGGTTAGCATCTAAGGGTTTTTCACAAAAGAGAGAGATGTCCTGGGAATATTGGCACCTTCGAATGGGTTAAGATGCCATTTGGCCTGAAGAATGCTGGAGCTACATATCAAAGAGCCATGAACACTATCTTTCATGACCTCATTGGAGGGTATTTGGAATGTTATATTGATGACATTGTGGTTAAATCTCAATCCATGGAAGAGCACCTGTTTCACTTAGAAGCAGCCTTTGAAAGAATGAGAAGGTTCAAATTAAAGCTCAACCCTCTTAAATGTGCTTTTGGCGTATCATCTGGAAACTTCTTGGGTTATGTGGTACACAAGAAAGGAATACAGATTGACCAGAACAAAGCCAAAGCCATCATTGCAGCCAGGCCTCCATCAAGCTGAAAGCTGAAGAAGAATTCGTGTGGTCAGCAGAGCATCAAATCGCTTTCGAAGGTATCAAAGCCTACTTGGCTAACCCTCCAGTGCTGATGCCACCAAAGGGGAACAAGCCCTTGAAGTTGTACATAGCTGCAGCAGAGGATTCATTGGGAGCTTTCTTAGCCCAAGACAACAAAGAAGGCAATGAGCAAGCTATTTATTACCTTAGTAGGTTTTTAAATTCTTGTGAATGTAAATATTCAGCTGTTGAAAAGCTGTGTCTTGCTTTGTATTTTGCTGCAATAAAATTAAGATATTATCTTTTGCCTACAACTGTCTTGGTAATTGCAACCACAGATTTGGTTAAATATATGTTATCTAGACCAATGTTGAGGGGAAGAATTGGCAAGTGGATACTTGCCTTATCAGAATTTCATCTAGAATATGTCCCTCAAAGGGCAATAAAAGGGCAGGTTTTAGCCAATTTATTGGCAGATCATCCATCTCAAACAGAGAGCCAGGAGATAATGGAGCTTGGTATGGCTAATGTTGAGCCATGGCAGATGTGGTTTGATGGGTCGAAAGCCAATGGCTTAATTGGAATTGGTGTTGTAATAAGATCTCCACAAGGGGTAGAAACCACACATGGTTTCAGAGTAGATGAAGCCACTTGTTCTAATAATCAGGCTGAGTATGAAGCTTTAATAGTAGGATTAGAAATCCTTATTGGGCTACAAGTACATGCAGTTGACATATTTGGAGACTCTCAATTGGTGGTTAATCAAGTGAAAGGGATTTTCAAGTGTCAAAGCATAAGTATTTTGCCATATTATGTTGCTGCATTACATTTGCTTTCTCAGTTTCAAATAGCAAATGTAACCCATGTTCCAAGATTCTTAAACATTAGAGCTAATGATGTGGCTCAAAAGGCTTCGAACTTCAAGAGAAAGGATAATTCTCAAAGGGACATAAGTCAGACAACATATCAGAAATTAATACAACCTTGGAATAAAAGGAATATGGTCTTGGAAGCCAACCATAATGACTTACAAGAACAAGATTGGAGGCATCCAATAATGCAATATTTAGCTGGTCCATCTTCGAAGGCCAGCAGGAAGGTCAAATTGCAGTCCATGCAATATATGATATATGGCAATGCTCTTTACAAAAGAGGGGGAGATGGCTTATTGCTGGAGTGTTTGGGCCCAAAAGAAGCATTAACAGCCATGGCTGAGGTTCATGAAGGCATCTGTGGCGCTCATCAGCCTGGTGTAAAGATGAGATGGTTGCTTCGAAGGCATTCCTATTATTGGCCAACCATTCTTAAGGACTGCATCGAATATGCAAAAGGTTGCCAGGCATGTCAAAAACATGGCGCAATAAGGCATGTGCCCATAACTGACTTACATGCAGTAGTGAAGCCTTGGCCATTCAGAGGATGGGCCATGGATGTGATTGGCAAAATACACCCACCTTCTTCGAAACATCATTGTTTCATTCTGGTGGCCACTGATTACTTCACTAAGTGGGTTGAAGCCAAGCCATATAAGGCTGTAGATCAAACAGAGGTCATTGGGTTCATTAAAGACTTGATCCATAGATTTGGCATCCCACAAACCATAACTATAGACAATGGGACTGTGTTTGATGGGAAGATGGTGAGATCTTTTGTGGCAGAATTTGGAATTAGTCTTGTTAATTCCACACCTTATTATGCACAAGCCAATGGTCAAGCTGAATCATCCAATAAATCCTTGAAAAAAGGTATACAAAAGGTTGTGGAAGATAATCCTAGGGATTGGCACAACCTTCTGTTGGATGTTTTGTGGGCTTACAGAACTTCCCCAAGATCAAGCACAGGAATTACTCCTTATGCCTTAGTATATGGGCATGATGCAGTGTTACCTGTGGAAATTAATATTAAATCTTTGAGGGTAAAATGCCAAGATCAGTTAGATCCCGAGCAATACCATCAAAGCATGTGCCTGGAGTTAGAAGGCATAGATGAAGCCAGAATCCTGGCTTTGAATAGCATTCTTTTACAGAAGAAGAAAGCAGCCAAGAATTACAACAAGAAAGTTAAACACATTGGCTTTGATGAAGGTGATTTGGTATGGAAAACAATACTCCCAATAGGAATTAAAAGCCATAAGTTTGGCAAATGGTCACCTAACTGGGAAGGGCCATATCAAATTCATAGAGTTTTGCCTTTTGGAGCATATCATTTAAGAAATTTAAATGGTTATGTACATCCCAAAAAGATTAATGGCAGGTATCTGAAACCTTATTTTCCAACCATTTGGGAAACACAAGGAATAGGATAATACAAAGATACAAGGCTATTCGAATGATGCACACGATTTGTTCTTCTATAAAGAATTAAATACGTTGTGCGACAGATTGGCCCAGAAATCATTACAATGTCTTAATTGTTTTTGTACAGTAGACTTTCTATTGCTAAGTAACGGAAATAATTGGATAGCTGCAGCCATGTCTCCTTTTCGATCAGTCAACTCTTGATTGGTGATGTGCAATTTGGTATCGGTTCGAACCAAGGCCTGGTTTACTGCAGCTAGCTCCTCTTCAAGTTGGGCTTTCTTCTCCAGCAGCTGAATTCGAAATTGAGAAGCAGAAGAGTGCTGTTCCTTGAGATCTGATACTTCAATATGCACTTGAGAAACAAAACTCTGATCCTTAGCCAGTTTCTCGTCTGCAGCCTTAGCAGTATGACAAATGTTGAGATAGAAGTCAACAGTAGCTGCTGCCTGAGATAGATAAATTGAAACTTTCATGCCGGACTGCTCAGCGATTTTGCAACATTGAAGGAACCCATCTCTGATTATTGGCCTTTGCAGAGCCTCGAAGGGAATTCTTGAGAAAAAAATTAGCAGTTCTAGGCATGTGCCCATATCTATCAAAGGTGCAGAAAGCTTGCTGCTAGAGGAAGAACTCTAAAAAATTTCCAGCAAGGAGTCAGCCAAGACTAATGGCTCAGCTTCGGCATTAAATAATGAAGAGGTAGAGGGTGTGTCGGAGAAACTAGCCAGTTTGGCTTCGAAAATGTCTACCTCATCCATAGACATGAGGGGTGCAGAAAGTGTTGTGGTGAAAAGCACAGAGGACTGCAGGGGAACATGAGAAATAGGTGAAGCATTTCTGGCAGCCTCTATGGTCTTAACCACCAATGAATCAAGTGAAGAGGGGCTGGAAGTGGGTAAAGATGATGAACCAAGAGTTGGGGAACTATCAGCACCCTCTGAAGGAGAATCAACTGCCATGTGAGATGAAGTAGCAGTAGGAGGAAGAGCGAGGATCGAAGAAGCAAACTGAGGCAGATCAAGAGTCAAGAAAGGGAGGTATGGCTCTAAGCCAAGGAAAAGAGATGCAGGGATACTTGGACTCGGAAAAGATGTATTGAATATAGGCTTAGGAAGTGGGAGCATGATTTGAATGGTTTTCACGCGTTGCATCTGGTCAACTACAACTGAAATTGGGGAAGGTCTCGCTGGAAAGATGAATGCAGTGGTCGTTGCTGCAAAAAAGAAGAAAATGTGAGGTAATGTCAAGTCTCAGTCTTGAAGATTCGACAAGAAAAGAATAAAGGCATGAAGAAAATTACTTGTTCCAGTGTATAGTTCAATAGTCTGTTGTTCTATTGCCATTTCCTTTGGTAATGCATCAACGGCAACGACCTTCTCTCTTAGGAATTGTTGCTGCTGCCTCCCCTCAGCCCTTTCAAGGACAACTATGGCTTTGGAATATTCTTGTTCTACAGCCTTATGGATGGGGTCTTCAAACGAGCCAGTAGCTAAAGCAGTAACCTTCCTCCTCTTTTCTATTACTTGGGCAATTGTCTCGGAATCAGAATCTTCAGTAAAATCGGAAGAGAAACAGTAATTTTTCTTCTCCTTTTCCTTTGAATTGGTATCATTCGCTCCTCCATTGTCTTCTCGACCTCTTTAGGTTGGGGTCCAGACTCTTCAAAAATGAGCTCCTCCTCTACCTTCCTAGCGGCCGTCTCCTCTTGAGCCAATTGAGGTACTCTTTTGCTTCTTTTCAAGGGAGACTCCTGTTCTTGATCATTTTCTTCTTCCTCCATCTCTGGAAGTTCAGTTTTTTCCCTTTCTA